TATACAGACTGAAAATGAAGGGTTGGAAAAGAATATTCCATGCAAATGGACATAAATAAAATGCCAGGGTAGCAAGACTTATAACAGACAAAATAGACTTCAAAACAAAGGCCATAACAAGAGACAAAGGAGGTCAGTACATAATAGTTAAGGGAGTAGTCCAAAAAAGGATATACCTTTATAAACATATATGCACCCTATATAGGAGCACCTAAATATATAAAGAAAATTTCAAGGGATTTTAAGAAAAAGATCAATAGCAATAGTCATCGTAGAAAATTTTAGCACCTCACTGTCAATAATGGATAGATCTTCCAAACAAAAAATTCAACAGGCACATAATGACATTAAATGACACTCTAGATCAAATGGACTTAGTAAAATTTACAGAACATTTCACCCCCAAAAAGCAAAATATACATTCTTCTCAACTGGACATGGATCATTTTTAAAACAGACAACATGGTAGGGCACAAAACAAGTCATAACAAATTTAAGAAAATTGCAATCATATCAAGCATCTACTAGGATCACAATGGTTTGAAACTAAAACTAAACTCAAGAAAAAAACTGTAAAACATTCCAATACATGAAGACTGAATAACATATTATTAAATAATGATTGGGTTAACAATGAGATCAAGGAAGAAATCAAAAAGTATCTGGAAATAAATGAAAATGGATACACAACAACCCAAAACCTATGGGACACAGTCCTGAGAGGGAAATTCATAGCAATACAGGCCTACCTAAAGAACTGAAATAAACAACTTAACCCTTCATAGAGGAACAACAACAAACAAAGCCCAGAGAGACTAGAAGGAAGAGAATAATCAAGATCAGAGTAGAATTAAATGATATAGAGACTAAAATAACAGTTCAAAAGATGAGTGAATTCAGGATCTGGCTCTTTGAAAAGATAAACAAAATTAACAAAACTTTAACCAGATTCATCAAGAATAAAAGACAGAGGACATTAATAAATAAAATCAGAAATAAAAGAGAAGAAGTAACCACTGACACCACAGAAATACAAAGGATTGTAAGTTATTACTATGAACAACTATATGTCAAGAAATTTGACAACCTGGGAGAAATGCATAAGTTTCTAGAAACATATAATCTCCCATAACTGAATCAGCAAGAAGCAGATAACCTGAATAGACTGATAACAACTAAAAAAAATGAAGAAGTAATAAAAAAAAACTCCTGGCACTCCGAAGCCCTAGACAAGATGGCTTCATAGGCAAATTTTAGCAAACATTCAAAGAAGAACTAACACCTACACTTTTAAACTATTCCAATAATTTCAAGAACAGGCAAGAGTCACAAATCCTTCTTATGAGGCCAGTATTATTCTAATTCCAAAACCAGGTAAAGATATAACAAAAAAAATAAAATTATAGAACAAGATATTAACAAACTTGGTTCCAGCAATACACTAAAAAGATTACACACCATGATCAAGTGAGATTTATTCTAGGAATCCAAGGATGGTATAATATTTGCAAATAAATAAACATAATAAATAACATAAAAGAAAGCACAAAAACCACATGATCATATCAAGAGATGCTAAAAAAGCATTTCATAAAATTCAACACCCATGTATGATAAAAACACTCAGCAAAGTGGGCATACAGGAAGCATACCTAAACACAACAAAGGCCATATATGGAAAATCTACTGTCAACATCACACTCAGTGGGTAAAAACTAAAAACATTTCCCTTAAGATCAGGAACAAGGCAATTGTGTCCACTTTCCCCACTCTTATTCAAATTAGTACTGGAAGATCCAGCCAGTGTTCAGACAAGAAGAACAAATAAAAGTTAGCCAAATTGGAAAGAAGGAAGTAAAACTGTCATTATTTTCAGACACATGTTGTACACGATCTATAGTGTACAAAGAAAACCCTACAGACTCCACCAAAAACTACTTGACATAATAAGTGAATTCAGCAAAGTGACAGGATACAAAGTCAAAAATCAATGGCATTTCTTGTACACTAACAATGAACTATCAAAAAGAGAAACTAAGAAAAAAATAACATATACTATAGCAACAACAAAATAATAAAGTACTTAGGAATAAATTTAGCCAAGGTTGCAAGACGTGTACTTGGAAAACCACAGAACACTAAAGAAAGAAATTGAGGAAGATACAAATTAATGGAAGCATGTACTGCATTCATGGATTGGAAGAATTAACATCATTAAAATGCCCATTCTACCCAAAGCAATCTAGAGATATAACACAATTCCTTTTAAAACACAAATGGCATAATTAACAGATCTAAAACAAATACCTCCCCAAAATTATATGGAAACAAAAATCCCCCAAATAGCCTCAGCAATCTTGAGGAAAAAAAGAACAAAGCTGGAGGGATCACAATACCTCATATAAAACTATACCACAAGGCCACTGCAATCAAAGCAGTCTGGTACTGACATAAGAATAGACACATAGATCAATTGAACAGAATACAGAGCCCAGAAATAAACCTATGTCTCTACAGTCAATTAATATTTGACAAAGGGAGTATGACCATATCATGTAGTATAGGAAGTCTCTGCAATAAATGAGAAATGTTGAGAAAACTGGGCTGGCACATGCAAAAAAAAAGAAACTTGACCACCAATTTATACCACATACCAAAATAAACTCATAATGGATAAAAGACTTAAATATAAATCATGATACCATAAGAACCCTGGTGGAAAACATGGTCAGTAAAATTTCACACACACATCATATAGCAATATTTTTACTGATATACCTGCTAGGGCAAAGGAAATAGAAGAAACAATAAACAAAAAGGACTACATTAAGTTAAAAAGCTTCTGCCCAGATAAAGAAACCATTATCAAAATGAAAAGGGTGCCAACTGTATGGGAGGACATATTTGCCAATGATACCTCTGACAAGGGTTTATTCTCCAAAATATTAAAGAACTCATATGACTCAACACCAGGAAGACAACAAATCCAATTTAAAAATAGGCAAAGGACCTAAATAGACACTTCTCTGAGGACGACATACAGATGGCCCATAAACATATGAAAAAATGCTCAACATTACTAGCCATCAGAGAGATGAAAATTATAACCACAATGAGATATCACCTCACATCTGTCAGAATGCCCATCATTAATAAATCAACAAATGATGCATTGGCAAGAATGAAGAGAAAAGGATGCTCTGTTGCCCTGGTACTCTGTTGGTGGGAATGCAGACTCGGGCAACCACTATGGAAAACAGTACTGAACTGGGGCAGATCCTGGCTGGCAGGATCTGTGTATGTTGTGGCTGTTCACAAACAAATACACACGGACAACAGAAGCCCTGTGAAGAAAAAGGGACAGCATGGGCACTCTCTGATAGAGAGAGAGAGAGGGCAAGATGGCCAGAGCACTCAGTCCCTGCCTGAACAGGCTTTTATTGCTTCTCTGGGTACATTACATGGAGGGTAATCCTCACTTACTATGCACAGGTTCACTGTAGGGGATAACCTTTCATAGATAACAAAGGAAAGAATGTTGCTAACTATTTCAAAGAGAAGGATGTTGCAGATCAGAGGGAAAAGTGGTTGAACCAGACATACTCCATACTTGGGAGGTTTAGTACAGACTTGTAAGCCCTTTCTGCCTCAATTCAGGGTGAGGGATTTTTAGCAAAAGCAAGTCTCATAGCAGTCTAAGTACAATGCAAGCCTGACTCCCCATAGGAAAACCTATCTGCAGGTGTGGTCCTGTGTGCCACTCACTCCCCACTGGTTTTCCATGTGGAGGCTGAGCTACAATTCCATGCCATGCAAAGGAGTTCCCTACACTGAACTTCTTCAAAAAAATTAAAAATGAAACTACCTTTTGACCCAGAGATTCCACTGCTGGGAATATACTCTAAGAATCCTGAAACACCAATTCAAAAAAATTTATGCAACCCTATGTTCATAGCAGTATGATATGCAATAGCCAAGGGTTGGAAACAGCCTAAGTGTCCATCAGTAGATGAGTGGATTAAAAAAACTGTGGATAAAGAATATCTACACAGTAGAATAGTATATCTACATAGTAGAATACTGCAAAGCAGAAAGAATGAATTCCTACTTTTTGCAACAGCATGGGTAAAACTGGAGACTATTATGCTAAGCGAAATAAGTCAGTCAGAGAAAGACAAATACAATATGATCTCACTTATAACAGGAATCTAGTGAGCAAAAGAAACTAATGAGAAAAATAGAACCAGAGGCATAGATTCATGGAATAGACTGACAGTGGTAAGATGGGAGAGGAGAGGGGAGGAATGTTTGAAAGAAGGTGAAGGTATTAGTCAAAGAACATATATGAAGGACCCATGGACATGGGCAATGGTGTCAAGATTGTTTATGGAAGTGAGGCTGGATGAGGGGGACTAAGGGGGAAAAATTGGGACAACTGTAACAGCATAAACAATAATAAAAAAAAGAATATTTGGTGGTGATAAGAGCTAATAATGCAAAACAGAGTGAGAGGGTATGAGGATGAGAAAAGGTGCTATTTAGAAGGGTCTCTGGGAAGGTCAAATTGGAACAAATACTTGAATGGGTGAAGGAATGAGTTGTGCTAATTTTCCTGCAATTTTATTTTTTAATAGTTTAATTGGGGATTTTTTGGTATATGATAGAAGAGGCTCTAATTATTGTTTTCCTTAGCATATCCAGTTATTTCAATACTGCCTTCCTTTCTCTTGGTTTTCAGAAGCTTTTTTATGAGATTGAGTCTCTTTCTCAGTTCACTAATATGTTCTAATATGTATTTTTCTGACAGATCACTCTATTTTAATTGCTATTTTTTGGATCATCCTTTTACAAAAATTCACCAGTTCTTGCTGATTCTTCTTCTTTAGCATTTCTAAACCATCTTTCTCGGTGTCAAAATGAATTCCATCTTCCTGAAGGGGCAAATTATGTCTTAACTGTTTTTGTATCTATAACATTTCCAACAGAGCAGAGCCAAAATAGACTTTTAATACATTTTTATTAAATGATGAATAATTGAATTTCAAATTCATTTAGATGTTTTTAACTCTCTTCATATCTGATGTTGTCTCACACTTTTAAGCGGGTCACAAGTGGCAGAGGGTTACTCACCAATCCATATTTTCTCCTGTCATTCAGTTTTCAAATAAACTTCACATGAATAGGTCAGTCATTTACTACAAACCCACTATAAATATAACAGCTTTGTTAAACAAATAAGGGAAAGAACAAGGTCCCTCAAAAAGGCACAGCCACTTTCATAAATAAGAATATCATTTGTATTTGAATTATTTTATTTCCTTTATATCACTTGGATAGGATTGAAAATCTTGATGGCCAGTCTTTAATGCAGTCAGACCATATGCTTTTCCAGTTCTGTGTTTATACCGTCTGTATATCCACATTCCTCCCAAAAGCAAGAAGACCAGTGAAAGGGGAGCCAGCACAATCCCCCAAGAGAATGTGGCCACTGTAAAAAGAACAGAGTCATATCAGGGGTCAAACATTCTCTCACTACCAAATAGGACAATGTAATGCAGGTTTAGAGGGAAGAAAGCCATTGGAGTTCGTTTTTCCTAATAAATGTACATTGATTTTCAGAATGTGTTCCTGACACCAATATAGAAGACACTTGAGAATGCTATTTGTGGCATTAGGGAAACAAGCAAAGTAGAAAACTTCATAAAAAAGAAACAAGGCAGAGTGAAGGGAAGGTGTTGAGGGTCTAATTTTGTTTCATCCACTGAATAGTATGTAGTTAAATGTCATCTAGTTATGTCTCAACCAGCCAACTGTGACATGGTCAGAGCAGTGATGTCATGAGGTTTCAATAAGGTTACAGAAGAAAGGAAAACCAACTTTGAAAAACAAAGTTTTAGGGGTCAAGATTATTGCTTGGATCCAGCTGTTTTATATTCTACTCCTTGGGCTTCCTTGTGTTATGAAAATATAGTAAGTGACTAAGAATAAAAAGTTAACAAGTAAACACAAGAACATGAGTGTCATCAAATACATTGACGATGAGGCCACAATTCCACATGCTGAAGCTACTGTTTATCATAGTCTGTCTAGGCATCCAGGAACCAACACAATCTCAAATTATTTTCTCCACATGATTTTTACATCCTAAAATCCAACAAGGCTTTAAATGAGTGGTGCTTCCATTTTCTGAGCACCTCTCCATCCTCTGCCATCAGTCATGGCCAGTTCAGCAACAAGAATAGGCTCATGTTACAGCAATATTTAAAGGTCCCCAGCATCAAGACCAGACAACCACAGGTTCCTTTGGGTCACTAATCTAAAAGACAACAGTGGATTCTGAATTCTGTGGAATCCTCCATTTCCATGTCTAAACTACCACCAACACTCTCACAGAAATGATCTGAAATATCAGCCTCTGCATATATGTCTGAGGACAATGGCACTCAAACTTTAATATAAAAGAGCCTGCTCAGTTGTGACCTTTGGTCTTACCCCAGGAGAATTCGACTGGGTAGCTCTGGGGTGAGCCCAGGAACCTATTTTTCAACAAGTAGCTGAAGCAAGCAAAGCTGTGGCACATAGACTTTTCTTTTTGGAGAAAAGTTATGTCATGTCATTCTCTGCCTTCCGACTTATCCAAATCCCCAACTTTCCAATTAGAAATGTGTCTGCAACTGCTTCCCCAGCAAACATGAAGACTATGAAGCAATTTGTGTTTATCTGATTGCTGCAAACTGCTCAGAAGGCATGATGAGATTACAGCTGTGGATGACTTTGGCTTGTCCCTTATTATTACCTGGAGCTGCCAACAGATGATATTACTTGTGTCTCCCTTTCCTGCTAAGTGCTTAAACTAAGAAGTTGATTGGTCAGAATGATAATTTGGGTTTTTCTTGTTATAAATTCTTTCACTTTATTTCCTGTTAACTGATGACTTTAATCCTAAACCTACCCAGAGCCCTCAATATCTCCCAGTCCCTAGCTCTTGGAGGATAAAGTTTCTCAACTTCAGGATAAAGAATGTCCCACCCTTGGCAAGGGGTCATAAGAAACAGTTGTTCCTGCTAAGACCCACAAGAGAACACAGGGTTTCTTAGAGTTTATCGCAGAACCACTTTATCTCTTTTCCAAAATTCAGCTTGCTATTTAAATTTTTATTTAAATATAATTTCCCAAAGCCAGTCTCCACCCTACCAAAAAACCATAAAATATCAGAGATTTGTTCTCAGTGCTCTGCTGACAGGAAGCATGAAGGACTTGGTAGGTGACCATCAGGAGATCTGGTAGCCTTGTCTGGCATTCACAGAACATTCAACATATTTTTTTTTCCTTCAAAGTCCCCAAAACACATACCTTCTTTGACTGTGGTATGTAGCATCTGAAAACCCAGTGTATTACGAACAACACACTTAAAATCCGTGGTCAAATCCTCTCTTGTGACTGGATCAAAAATCAATGACACTTCAATGTAGTTCTCATTATTTTCTGAGTAGTCCCTGAGTGAGAAAATATTTACTTAAACATGGTATATAAGTTCAACCTTGTCTTTAAAATGTAGACATCCAAGCATTCTCAGTGAGGAGGATCCATTGTGATTACATTGGATTTAACATTGCTTACTTAATTGTGCTTACATTGTACATTGATTTCAAGATTAAGAAAGTTAGGAGCACTTGCTATTATATTTGTTACTTATTTGGGAGAATTCTAAGCCTCTCTCTGAATGTAGGAGTGACACTGATGTTGGTCACAGTTGTAGGACACTTGTTATAAGGAGAACTTACTGGAGCTAGTTTTCTTTGAACAATGGAAATTTCATTTTTTAAAAGCCATTAATGAACAAAGAATCAGTAGTGAGAATAGAAACGTCTCATTTTGGGAAACTTGACTGTATCACCCACAAACATTTGCATATTGAAAGGCGGGAGTTTCCAGGAATCTAGTTTTCAACAGTGTTCCATCCTCTCACTTCTACTGCCAAGTCTCACTCTGGAAACTCAAGTCCAGAGTTGAGGGCTGCAGACAGTCTGGGGAGGATGACTCTAGTCAGCCTAACTACCAGTTGTAATGCTATAGGAATCTGAAGGTGCTTTACTATCTACTAGTATGAATTAAAATGTTGTTGTTGTGGATCCACAGGACTTTTTTTAATCTATGGGAGAAGATAGGCTCCTTTAGTAAATGAATAGTGTGAGTAAGCTTACATGGGAATGCTAACATGGCAATAAGAACTTGCAAGCAAACAATTGTGCTAACCAAACATAATTTTTATCCACTCAGTTTTATCCAGAAAGATCTTTTTTGATAGGTCTTTCAAAAAAGTAAAAAAATTGGCAAGTCAAAATTCATGCTAATTCAGGGTATCGAAACTATAATTTTAAAATCTGTACTTTATGATTTGGGACATTGAATGGTCTTCCTTCCTCACACATAAATGGTTCCTATTTACAAGGTTTGATTGTGCTACATTCAAAGTGAGAAAATATTTTCCAGAGATGAATACTTATGAGAACAGAATTATTTCTTACTTTTAATATTAACCTTCCTTAGAGACTCTGGCAGCCCAGAGTTCCCTGAGAAACAGGATGATCTCTCAGATACTGTGGCTAAGTTTCAGAATCTTTTTTAAAGGTTTGTGAAAATGACACTCAGATTGAAGAGTGGGGAATTGAAATATATTAATTTCAAAGTATTTTAATGGCAAAAATTAAGAAATAAATATTTTATTAAGCTGGAGGCTTCCACCAAGATGGAGGTGTAGGTGGAAACACTGTGCCTCCTTGCACAACCAAGTTTAAAGAAAACAAAGTTTTAGTAACAAAAATGCAGCCAAAACACCGAAAATTAAACTATATGGAAGTCTAACAACAACGAATCTTTCAGCCAGACCAGTAAGAGGGGCAGGGCCAGCAGCGGAGCAGGGTTGGACAGGAAAGATCCCCTGGACCAACCCAGGTGTGCAGGCAGCCATTGGCGGGTCCCAGGTGTGGGGTAGCAATGGGCAGACCCAGTGAGGGTGCAAGGTAGCAGGCTGACTGTGGTCACACATTCGTGCGCAGATAAACCAGCAAAGGAGTGAGCAGTGAGACAGATCACACAGGCCCCAGCTGCGGGAAGCAGGAAAAAGGACTGCCATTGCCCCTCTTGGACCCCGCCCCCACATACAGCATCACAACCCAGTGATGGGTTGCTCCGCCCTGGTGAACACCTGGGGTTCCACTCCTCATACATAGTAACAGGAATGAACAGACGAAATCTTGGCTCAAAAAGAACTCAAAGCCCCAGAGCCAATAACTCTAAGCAACCGAGAAATAGCCAACCTATCAGATACACAGTTCAAAACACTGGTGATCAGGATACTCACAGAACTGGTTGATTTTAGTCACAAATTAGAGGAGCAAATGAAGGTGAAACTAATTGAAATGAAGGGAAATGCACAGGAAACCAATAGTGATGGAAAGGAAACTGGGACTCAAATCAAGGGAGTGGACCAGAAGGAAGAAAACAATGACCAAACAGAAAAGGATGAAGAAATAAGAATTCAAAAAAAAAAAAAAAAAAAGGAAAGGCTTAGGAACCTTCAGGACATCTTTAAACCTTCCAAAACCCAAATTATAGGGGTACCAGAAGGGGAAGAGGAACAGCAGCAAGTGGAAAACTTATTTGAACAAATAATAAAGGAGAATTTCCACAATCTGGCAAAGGAAATAGACTTCCAGGAAGCTCAGAGAGTCCCAAAGAAGTTGGACCCAGAAGGAACACACCAAGGCACATCATCATTATATTAGCCAAGATTAAAATGAAGGAGAGAATCCTAGAAGCAGCAAGAGATAAGGGGACAGTCACCTACAAAGGAGTTCCCATCAGACTGTCAGTGGATTTCTCAGAAGAGACCTTAGAGGCAAGAAGGGGCTGGAAAGAAGTATTCCAAGTCATGAAATCCAAAGACCTACAACCAAGATTGCTCTATCCAGCAAAGCTTTCATTTAGAATGGAAGGACAGATAAAGTGCTTCTCAGATAAGATCAAATTCAAGGAGTTCATCATCACCAAGCCCTTATTACATGAAATATTAAAGGGAGTTATCTAAGAAAAAGAAGATAAAAAATATGAACAATGAAAGGACAGCAAACTCACAGTTATTAACAACCACACCTAAAATAAAAGCAAACCAAGAGGACAGCTAGATCAGCAGCAGAACCATAGAAATGAAGATCACATGGAGGGTTAGCAACAGGGGAGTGGGAGGAGGAGAAGGGGGGAGAAGGTACAGAGAATAAGTAGCATAGACGGTAGGTAGAAAATAGATAGGGGGAGGGCAAGAATAGTATGGGAAATATAGAATCTAAAGAACTTGAGACACGTGGACATAAACTAAAGGGGGAATGGTGGGGGATGGGTGTGCAGGGTGGAGGGGAATGAAGGGGGGAATAGAACAACTGTAATGGCATAATCAATAAAATATATTTAAAAAGAAAAATAAGCTGGAAAATGCAACCTCAATGCCAAGTAGCTGAGTACAAGTTAACTCATATAGAAAGTTTGCTTCCCAAGAACAAATGGTAATTCGTAGAAAAACTCAGTTTTTAAAACTCTAAAAATCCAAAAGTTTAGAATAAAAATTATTTTGAATATGGTACATGTGTCATATTGAAAAGTTGGATATTACATAATCTATTTTGTAAAAAAAAAAACTGTAAAGCATATGGAGGTCTCAAAACAGCTCTGCCCAGAAGATGCCTCTACGCTGACAAACATCTTTACCCACTTACAGACGCTGCCCCTCAGTGACACGGCCGTCATGATAGGCACTGTCTATGTTGGTGTTGTTGGCCATCCACCACAGCATGGTAGTTGAGTGTGAGCCAGCTCCCAGAAACACCTTACATGGGATTGTCAGTCTTGACCCTGTGCACAGTAAGACATAGCACATAAAATGTCAGAACCTAGCTGGACACAAAAGTTTGCCCAGCTCCTCATCCATCAGCAGACCTGAGCAGCAGACCCTTACCTGTCTCCTCAAACACCTCTCACCATCCAATTCTGTTCTTGGAAGGAAACAGCTCCCTCAAAAAATTCCATTCACATAGATCATCAGTAATTACCAAGTGTCTCCAGTTCCTTCAACTGGCCTTCATTGAAGATAAAGATCCAGAAGCAAATGGCTTCCCCAAGGCCACTCAGCTCCTACAGGGCATTCTGAATTCAAGGGCCACCTTCTTTCACAATTTATACTACCCATCCCACAGATCCAGATTAACATATGGATTCTTTCTCTTTGTCCATTGCTGGCCTCAGCCCTCCTGTTTCCCCTGGGAACTCTCCTTCTGAGGTTATGTTCATTTAGAATTAACCCTTTAAAAGCCACTTTTAAAGTAGTATTTTATAGGCATGGTGCCTTCTACAGTTGCACAATGTAATGTGCACTGAGTACCTGAGACTCAGTCACTATAACTTACATGTTTTAAGTCACCAAAGGAGAAGGGGGAGAAAATGAACAAATCCTTCCAATTTATTTCTTCCTCATGGTTGCTATGCCTCCCTATGCTATGTCTTGTAGGGCACCTCTCCCAACCTCAAGCTCAGAATGCCAGCCTTTCTCCCTGTTTCACCACCCCAATGATCTGAAAATCTCTCTGCCAAAATCAGCCCATTAAATCCTGCCTCATGTGACTCTGTCACACACATCAGTGCCTTACAAGCAAGGTGCAGGAAACCCAGCTCCACTTGGCTGAGAACACTGAGAGTTCTCTATGGCCACCAGTTAAAATGTTAAATATAAGCCCAACACAAAACAGAAGAAATTGAGAAGGGCTGGGGGATATGAGAGATGACAGGACTCTGCAGCTGGGGTTTAATAAATGAGCATAAACTTACAAAACCATTACACAAAAGCAAACACACAAAAAGGTACAGGCTTCACAGACACACAGGCCTGAGTCCAAACCCCAGCCTGACCCAGGTGTAGCTTTTGACCTTTCTTGTACCACTGTGATCCCCTGGACAGCTTTTCCTTCTGGAGAATGGGAGAAATAAAACCTTTCTACAGCATTGATGCTGGGAATAATGACACCACACTAAACACACTATTGTTCAGTAAGGAGGTGTGTGCTTTCTCAGACTGCTTGCACCAAAATGGGGTGAAAAAAGGAAAACTCTGTCAATCACTTTCATCATCCTACCAGCTGACCACCAATTTTTGCACCAGAAAATGGCCTCTGGGGGGCTAGCTGTGGCTGGGTCAGCCTCATTTTACAAATGCAGTCTTAGGGAAATGCTGAACATCAGCCATGTTGCAGTAAAGTGAATTATTTTAAATATACTGCAGGTACTGGCTCTGTCAGGGAATCATGCCATTCATCCTTTTCAACATTAATAACTGCTCAGAATGTTCAGGTTTTTTACATTTAGATATTTGTAAGTAGGGTTTTCACAGATCAAATATACCTGTTTCAAACAATGCTATTTCTAACAACATTTGATGCAGAGAAATGCTCTCTCACATTTGTCATTCCAGTCCCTCATCATGGGGTTCTAGGATCTCTACCCAGGCACACTGCACACAAAGGGATAGGTGTAGTCAGTAGACACAGGGGTCCCAGGGCCTTAGACTTTGACATTGCAGACACCCTTGTAGGTCGTACATCCTTGCAGGTCTTACCCAAAGAAGTCAGTATGGTCTGGTGGGGGGAGATAATCACAGGAATTGTCTCCTCTTCTTTTTCTGAGATAAATATACAGAAAAAAGATTCAATTAGGAGAGACTTCCTTTCAAGCTGAGGTTCGGTTTCATTGTGTAGCTAATTGAGTTATTCCTGACACTATGGCCAACCATTGTGGGATTTGACCTTTCTCTGGCAAAGGAAACAGGCTCTCCACAAAATTGAACATCCTTAGTCAATGCCTTTCCCAGAAAAGAAATTACTAGAAGAATCTCTCTTACAAACACATTCCACTAACAGATGTTCTTCATTATGTGATAAACAATTAACCATTCCCCTCCCTGTCTTCCTGAATGAATTATTAAAACTAATATTCATAATGTCCACAGGATATGTTTTACTCCATGGTCAACTTGACCTAAAATATGCCTCTCCACTCCATCCTCACCTCCCCAAATGTTTTCCATAAAATACTGAAGAGTCACCTCAAAAAAAGAAGCACATGGGTTTGGGGACCACATGTGTACAGTGCTAATGCCATGCTGAGTGATAGATTGGCTCAGGTTGGCCAATGAGATTTATTAATTGAGGAGATAATTCTTTAGGGAGGCAGAGGTGGATCTCCTAGGAATAAGAACCCAGAGCGCCAAGAGGCAGGTTTCCCAGCAGTATGAAGAAACTGAGCATCTGAATTGAAGCAAGAAGGACAGCTTGGGGGTGGAGAAAGGGCTGCCTATCTCACATCCACTTACTCCATCCACACTTTGTCCACTAAGAGCATTTCGAAACCCTAACATGGGTAAAGCATTAGGCAGTATCACAGTAGAGTTCAAAGTGCAGGTGGCTTCCCAACTGTCACCAGTAGTAGCCTTTCCCTTCTCTCACAGTCACATGGCTACAACTCACAGGTTGGGGTAACAGACAGGGGAGACAGAAGCTTTAGGAACTTATACACCAGTGGGTCATAGCATCGCCCAGGGGAGGTGCTTTGTTCCCCCTGCTCCTGTGTCTAGTTCAGTAGATCTGGGATGGGGTCTGAGGTATTGTATATCTAACCATTACCCAGGTAATGAGGCTGCTGTCCTCCCTTCCAGAACTGCTGAGATAGTGTGATCATAATACAGGATAATATGTAGGTTAACTGCCCTCTAGTGTTTTTGTGCAGTATCACATGAACAGTATACAGCCTCTCAAAGTCAAAGGACTTTGACTTTGTTCCCCTGTGGGGGAAGGAGTTGAGATGAATGAATGCTCGCAAGACAGCAAAAGAAATATAATCTACAATTTGATTTCATGGGAAAAATGATTTTCCCTTTAGAAAAACTGAATCTCTGGATTCAGTGAGAAAAAAAAGTTAGTCCTTTCCCCTCATAGACCAAGTATTTAATCTTAATATATTTCCAACACTCTCCGAAATGCCCTTAAAAAACTCTAATTGTCTAATCTTTACTATACAAAAGCAGTTTATTCTCCAGGACAGAGCTAAGGGCTTAAATATTTTTTACCTTTGCCACCAAGGTTGATGTCCAGCATGTAGGAGGTATGGAGTTAATGTTAAACAAATATTAAGTAGTAATCAATACTGTTCATAATATTATTTTCAAGTAGAGCTCATTTAAACCAATAAGGGCACTCACTATTTGAAATCCTGCTTTCAAGAGCAATTAGACATGCCTTGGGGAACAAAGCAGGGGACAATTTCTACCAGATATGCCATTGCATAGTCTTCTAACTGAAAAATACAATTAAAAACCCAGTATCTTAGAATTATACGTAAAGTTATGGCAACCATGTTCTGATGGCTGGCCCTGGAGGCGCAAGCCTTCCAAAAGGATCTTCCAGGTGAAGCACTGTTTGGCCCCCTCTAGTGGTGTGGTTTAGCCTTAGACTTGGAATCCAGGGATTTACCTTTCCTCAAAATAACACTCTGCTTTCTACATTTCAAGGTATCACACACAGGTCTTATTAGTCTGATGTTTTAAGATGGTTGACGTGTTTGTTTTCCTTTCATACCAAAGACATTCAAGGAATTCTATGTTAGCCCTAATTTGTTCTTTGCATGCTTGTTATTTAACCAGGGTAGAGAGGTACCTTGATGGCAAGCACTTACTGTTGATACGTAGTTTGATATTCCTAGTTATGTTGTATGGCATGCCTTGATGAGCAAATGTCATGACACAGCTGTAATAGCCTGCATCCTCCACAGACACGTTATGTATGAGTAAGCGAGTAGTTCCCCTCACACAAAGAAACTTCTTGTTGTCTGGATCCAAAAGGACAGAATCCTTAGGAAAAATGTTTTTCAAAGTTACACTGTGTACTAATTTTTATCTCAAAAGCTATGATAGTATCAATATTATCAATCAATGTTGAATTTGCAACCCAAGAATTTCCAGTTATTTCTTTGTAAATGTTATACTTTGGACATACTTTTAACTCTGTTTTTAGGAGAGAGAACTTGTTAACATATAAAACAAGGTTGCTGAATTTGTTTAAATCACAATGCTTAAAGCACATTTGCTTAAACACAATGAGGGAACAAAAGAAAATCTTCTTTGACAATGTAGACCTTTTAAAATACAAATATAATAATGACCTAATAGCTGCCTATAGACTTCAGGAGTCCCCCCAGGGAAGAGTACTATTATATAGCCATGGTGACTTGGAAAACAATGTTCAAAAGTGATAATGTTGCTGTAATCGCTTTAAAAATCATTTAAATTTTAGGAGTTGATAGAGATGTAGACAAAATTCTAAAAAAAACTAAATGTGAGAAACGAGTTCACATTTTTCATATAGACAAAAGATATTGTGGGTTCTGCAGAATTACAACACTTAGGAGCAAGGTCTCCAATAACACAGAAAAAGCTGAATGGGATTTTAAAGACATCATAACAAGCACAAATTGTTCTCAGGAACAGTTCTTTCAAAGCCGTGATGCTTAAAAGCTTGCAATGGCCAAATGTAACCTGAGTCATTTCAGACTCTTACTCTGAATAGAAACATACACATAACTGAAAGAGTTTGTTCGCCATGTGGCTCATAAAATATTACTTCTCAATATATTTAATTAAAATGACAAATTTAAATGTTCCTATCACAAGTGGTCAGATATGAAAAAAGCCAAAGAGGGCTCAGCAGCGTACATAGTTCTGCCAAGCCCCTCATGAGGCCACCAGGGCTGCCCTGCTTGGCAGTGCTGTGTGGAGCCTCCTGGTGTAGAATTTTGGCTTCATCATCTAGCTACTGTGTGACCTTGGGCAAGTTCCTTACTTTTGTGTATCTCTGTTTCCTAATCTGTAAAATACAGATATTAACAGTGTCTGCTTCACTGGGTTACATATCAGGAAATTTAGGACAGAATTGTGTACAGTACAAGCTCAGTAATGATTAGCTTTCTTAGAAAGGGAACAAATATTACTAAGTACATCACTGTGATATCCTGTCCACCCATATGTATCAAGCTTCATTTTATATGACAAGCCCTGCACTAAGTGCTTCATGCACAATACTTCAACTTAGTGTTTCAAATACTCTCGGGCAGTAGGAATGACTAATTGCCACTTTGCAGAGGAAGCAGGTTCAAAAGATGAAATAACTTGGCCAATGCCACACAATTGCTGAAAGAAAAAAAGGGGGTTTTAAACCCACACTGGTCAACTACAGAACCTGTGATCTTTTCTCCACAGGTGCAACCTCTTACTTGTCCTATTTATACTCTTCCTAAACCAAAAAAGAATCCTTTGCTTAATTGGACTGGCTACTTTATAGAACCTGGCCACTTTCTTCTACTTCAAAAAACTCATTTAAAAGTTTTCAATATTCTTTGATATCCTATGAAGTAACAAGACCAGTCAACTAGTTATATCTATTCTTTTTTCTGAAAAGGCACATTTTGAAAATTATGAAAAATTACAGATAATGTTGATTGAGACTATGCTAGAAAATTAGGTGTATATAGATTGAATGCAGATTAAGGAATAATACATGTATTTCTTAAGTAAAAGAAAGTTCCTCACTTCTTCTTCCTTTACACTACAGAAATACCTTCAATGTTTTTGCTGATTAGTAAAGTAGTACAACTAGAAAAATTAGGTAACACTGACTTATAAAAAATAGAAAGTGAATCTTTTATCTTCAAAAAATCGTTTATTATTTCAGTGTATATTCCACCAGCTTTTAAAATATGTTAAACCATGTTTCATATAACTAGGAAATACAACATATAACATATAACATTTAAATCCTTTTAACTATAACAATATTGTATTTTTCTTCTATGTTAATACATATAAAATAATCTAATCTTTGTAAATACTATAGCTATGTAATATTCCATTGTTCTTATGAGAGGAGATAAGTTTAATTCCTAACACTGAACATTTTTTAAAAAATTCTCACTGAGGACATGCTTATTGATTTTACAGAGAGGAAAGGAGAGAGAGAGACATTGATACTTGCCTCCTGTTGTGTGCTCCAACTAGGGATCAAACCCACAACCTTTTGCTGTAGGGGATAGTACTCTAACCAACTGAGCCACCACCAAGACCAAACATTTTCTTGTTTCTAGTATCTTATTATAAACGATGATTCAGTAACTATGTTAGCATATAGTGTTACATATACTTGTCTCATTATTTCCATATGTTTTTTAATTGACCTAATTCTTTTTTAAGATTTTATTTATTTATCTTTAGAGGGGAAGGGAAGGAGAGAGGGAAAGAATATAAATGTATGGTTGCCTCTCGTGGGTCCCCTCCTGGGAACTGGCCTGCAACCCAGGCATGTGCCCTGACTGGGAACTGAACCGTGATCCTCTGGTTTGCAGGCCCACGCTCAATCCACTGAGCTACACCAGCCGGGGCAAAATGGACCTAATTCTTCATTAAAGAATAGTGGACCTAATTTCTATCAATGACTGAACAAATAACTCTACTTTCCAATATCAGTCTATTCTATATCAAGTAATATTTTCTGTGAAAGGCCAGACAGTAAATATTTTAGGCCTATAATCCACTTTAGGCCATTGCAATGGGAAAGCATGAAAACAAATGAGTGTGGCTGTGTCCTCTTAAAACTTTATAAACACTGAAATCTGAGCTTTATATCATTTCATATGCCATATAGCAGTATTCTTCTTCTAATTATTTTTAACCATTTAAAAAAGTAAAAACTAGCCTTTGCTTGCAGAAACAGGTGGTGGCTCAATTTGGCCCTGGGCTGTGGTTTGCCCGTACTTGGTCTACCTACGTGATCTGGTGATAGTATTTATTCAACCAGGCAATAGAAGAAATTGTGTTTCTATTTACTCCTTTAACCCAAAGGTGATATGTGTATAAAGTTGTTAAATAAGCCAGCAATTGTTTTCTAAATTTTAACAGACAAATAGAGTAAAAGTTGTGTACTTCAGCTGTTATTTACTCTGGATTAATTTCATATTCTCAAATCACTATTCTAAGGATCCTTACCCAACCCACATATGGATTAAAACACCATTTTTATCATGACTCTTTTTTAATTAACTAGTTAAAAAAAACCAGAAGTATAAAAGCAGATGTTACTTTCAGAATGGGCATTTTATATCATTCCTATGGGCAGTAAAACACATTTTATTAACTGTCAATTTAAAAAAATATACCTTGTACCATTGAATCTTCATGTCAGTTCTGTTGCAGGTGAATTCACTCAGTTCAGGACAAACTAATGATCCAGAGGTTGAGAAAGTTAGAATTTGCGGATATGAGATGATAGGCAGCAAAGCTTCTGTCTTCCCCAAAACCCTGAGCTCAATGGACATTTCATCACAGTAAGAACTGTTTCTAATTTGAAAAAGAAAAGAAAAGCAATAAATGGCAAGGCAAATAAAAGTAAAACTAAATAAAATTAAACACAATTTCTTAATCCAATTAAATTCTGCATTCTGCATTTTATTAATTGGTACTGCAACAGTTCTGTCCATGATCCTTTTGAATGCTTAGGAGACAAAAGAAAGCACCACACCATAAATGTTATGTATTCTGTGTTTTTCCCAAAGGACCCTTCGCAAGCCTGATTTCAACACCATCCAGGGCCACTGAGAAATCCCCAAGGCCTAAACCCTTCCAGTTTCTGGGGCTCTTTGAGCAAATGCACCAACTTCTTGGTCCAGGGAACCATATACAAATAAAGAAATTGTTTTGTAAGAGCTACTTTCTCCATAAATAAAATTCCCTTCACTTCTCTAAGGAATCATTTAGTATAAAATGTATAAAAAAATTTTGCAATGCTGCATGGAGAAAATTAACTTGACAAGTTTGTTTAGATTTTAATTTTGGGGGGTTGGGCTACCTATAATTTCAAAATCATAATTCTATCAAGACACTGGAAGTGGGGAAACAGTATAGGTAATGGAGGAAAGGACAAAGGAGATTAATTAATACTAATTTTTAAGTAGAAAACCATAAAATATAATTATCTTACTAAGTTTCAGCTACCTATGAAGCATAGGACATCAACAGAGACAATGAGAAAGTGTGTTGAAGGTTGGGCATACTAGCACTACAAAAAGGAAAATAATTGATATCCAAAGAAGAAACAAAGTTTGGAACTTCTGGTCAAGGTGGAGGCATAAGTAGATATACTTGGCCTCCTTGTACAATTAAAAGAAGGATAACAAATAAAAAAAAACAACCACATCTGCCATAAAATTGAACTGTAAGGACATCCAACAATCAAGGAGTTATAGAAACATTCATCCAGACTAGTAGGAGGGGTGGAGACAGGGAGTGGGGCAGAGAGGACTGGAAGCCAGGCAGCTGCTAGCAGACCAGGTGATCAAGGCAGCAGCAGTTGGTGAACCAGATGGCCCCACATTCAGATGTGGATAAAAACCAGGAGCAACAACTAGGGAGTGAGCAATCCCAGCCCAGGACAGACTGTGAAACCCAGGGTTCCAGTGCTGGGGAAAATATAGCCTCATAACCACTGGCTGTAAAAACCTGTGAGGGTTGTGATCATGGAAGAAACTGCCAGGCTCTCAAGAGAGCCTGTTGAAGGTGGCCAAAGGGTTCTAGAATGTATGCAAGCCCTTTCACCCAGGAATTAGCACCAGGACAACCCTTCCAAGGTGCCATTCACTTGAGGGAAGCAGGGGAAGTGACTAAAAATGGAGCAAGAACCAAGCAAGCAGCATTGTTGCCTCTCTGACCCCTCCACCACATACAGCACCACAAACAATGAAGTGGGTTGCCCTGCCCTGGCAAATACCCAAGGCTTTGCTCCTTATAATGTAACATGTAGGCCAGGACAAAAAATACGGTCCAAGTGAAAGAAAAAATCAAAACTTAAATAAAAGAACTAAGCAATGAGGAGATAGCAACCTATCAAATGCAGACTTCAAAACACTGGTAATCAGGATGCTCACAGAAATGATTGAGTACGGTCACAAAATAAAGGAATAAGTGAAAGCTATACAAACTGAAATAAAGAAAAATCCACAGGGAGCCAACAGTGAAGGGGAGGAAACCATGCCTCAAATCAACCATTTGAAACAAATGGAAGAAATATTCAACCAGAAAAGAATAAACAAGAATTCCAAAAATGAGATGCTTAGGAAACACTGGGACAACTCTAAACCTACCAACATCTGAATCATAGGGGTGCCAGAAGGAGAAGAGGAAGAGCAACAAATTGAAAACTTATTTGAAAATATAATTAAAGAAAACTTCCCCAATCTGGAGAAGGAAATAGATGTACAAGTCCAGGAAGATCAGAGAGTCCCAAACAAATTGAACCCCCCAAAAAAAGCACATCAAGACACATCATAATTAAAATGCCAAAGGTTAAAGAGAAAATCTTAAAAGCAGCAAAAGAAAAGGAGAGAGTTACCTACAAAGGAATTACAATGATACTATCAGCTGATTTCTCAAAAGAAACCTTATAGGCAAGAAGGGGCTGGCAATAAGTATTTCAAGTCATGAAAGGCAAGGACCTACATCCAAGATTACTCTATCCAGCAAAGCTATCATTTAGAATGGGAGGGCAGATAAAGTGCTTCCCAGATATGGTCAACTTAAAGGAGTTCATCATCATCATCCCCTTATTATATAAAATGTTAAAGGGACTTGTCTAAGAAGAAGAAGAAAATCAAAACTATGAACAGTAAAATGAGAACAAACTCACAACTATCAACAACTTAACCTAACAAAACATGAAAACAAAAAGAAAAAAGTAATTGAACAACTAGAACAGGAACAGAATCATAGAAATGGAGATCACATGGAGGGTTATCAGTGGGGAGGAGGAAGGTGGAGGGGGGAAAGGTAGAGGGAATATGAAGCAAAATTGGTAGGTATGAAATAGACAGGGGGAGATTAAGAATAATATAGGAAATGGAGAAGCCAAAGAATTTATATGTACAACCCACAGGCATGAACTAAGGGGGGATTGCTGGAGGGAATAGTGGTACCCTATTGTCCATGGGGCAGAAGGAGACAAAGGTAAGAAAAAAATGGGACAACTGTAATAGCATCATCAATAAAATATACTAAGAACATTTGAAAAATATCATTTGAAAGAAATATGTGATAAAAGCTTACTATCTGAAAGTATAAAGAATTCAAGTATATAAGCCAATATTATATTATGCTCATATCTGTTTTAGAAATAGAAAAAAGAGATGAACAGACATTTTATGCACAAAGAAATACAAAAAGTTAACTGTCACCTTGAAAAATGCAAGTTGGGAAAATATGAATGAAGACAAATCTAAAGAACAGTGTATATCTGTGAGTAGTCCACTTAGAAGCTCTTCCAGATGAGGAGGCAGGTGAGGAGCCAGTTCTGTGCTGGTGTTCTGCATACTTTATTTCATTTATTCTCCAAAAATATGAGTTAGGAATTATTGTTACATAATTTTTAGATGAGGAATATTAGGTATACATAAATTAAGTAATTTCCTCAGGCTTTATAGCTACAAAGATGTCAGACCAAGGTTGGAAACCCAGGATGGCCCTGAGAAAACCTTAAATTAGGACAGTATCTACAGAAACCAAGCTTACTAGACAGAAACCAAGAGACTAAACTCATTGAGAGTTATTCACATTATTGATCTGATAATTCCCCTTGAGGAAAATACTCCATGAAAATAACCCAATAGAGAGAGGTTGAGGAGTAATTTGATCCCTGGTCATATTCCCCATATATGTTTGTATACCCACAGCAAAAGGGTGGTAATCATTTGTATTGTTCACTACATATTTCCAGTTCTCCCAGTCCTGAAACACAATGGGAGTACATGTCCTGGCCCCTCTGTGGGAGGGTAGAGTTATAGGACTTTAATCACTGAGTCATATGTGTATCAGTTCTACATCAAAGTTTTAGTAGCCAGGAGAGATTCAGAACAAATTTTCTCTGGGTACAGTGACCAACATTTGATATTACAACCTCTCTTTCAGTCTGGGTCCCTGAGTGTTGGCCAAACACTCCAGAGCTTGTTTTATGTGTGATAAATAAGCCTTTGTTGTTTAAAGCCACTGAGATTTGAAGCCTGTTTTACTCAGCTGCAGCATCTTCCCCACCCTGATTAAAAGAAGGACCACATGGGTTCTAGATCACAAGATTGCAAAAATCACAAGGACAGGGCAATTCATGCCCTCTGCCTAGAAGAGAGTTTTAGGTATCAGCAAAGTAAACTCTCTGCATGCTCAGGAAGTTTGACCCAGATTCAAATTTCTACTGGCCCTCAATTCCAGATCTCTATTTTTCTAGAACATAAAATAAAATAAGGAAATTAGATACAATTTTTAGTGAAGTATAGAAATAGTCTTTAAGACAAACATGACTTAGCCCATGTCTTTGTGATTTTTGCATATTGTCATCTCAGTAATCAACAAATATTGCCTTTGAGGAAAGAAAGAATATTTGTATTTATCTATTGACCACATACTTTGATGGTCCCATTACTAGATGCTTCGCATGCAGTAATTTCACAGAACCCTCCCCAAAAAAACTCTACAGGAAAAGGGTGGTAGTCAGAAGATAAAACTAAGGTCCATAATTGTCAATTATCATACAAAAGTCCTACCAGATACGAAATGAGGTGGTTCAGATTCACATCCATGTCAAACCTGACTCCACATTTTATTCCTTTTCTAATACACTTTTAAGTTTTCCTAGTAGTGTTCCTTCAGGGAAAAAAAGTAGAATATTTTTGGACTAGAAAAGAAAGAAAAACTATACATTGTAGCTACTGTAAAATCACACATCCAAATTTCCCCAATATAGAGATAAGACATTGCTTGCCTGCTTTCATTGATAGAATGTGACACACACACACACACACACCATCTAAGAATCTGGGACTGGTGATATCTGAAATTCTCATATTCATCAGCAATAACTTTGTGCTAAGAATGTCACTTTCTTTGGTTCTCTTCCTAAATGTCAGTGTAGTGTGAGTAGGTATGGCTTCTTAAATCAAATAGGTTTATGAAATCTGGAGAGACTCTAAAGTTGCCTGGTAGGAGGAGTGGTTATAACCTTCAGGAAGGGATACAGGCTACAGCTGGAGAGAGAAGGCTAGGAGCCCTAATTTCTTAATCAGGCCAACAGTTGGCTCTAATCCTTTCAGAAGAAATAAGCCGGTAAATTTTCAAGATTTCCAACGCTAAACCTACAATTTTCTCTTTCACAAGGAGCAAGCTAGACCAAAGCCATCCAATGGGAAATGGACCGTCTTTCAACAAAAGGTGTTAGGAAAGTTAGATATCCACATGCAAAAGAATGAAGTTGGACCCTTACCTTATACCACATATAAAATTTAATTCAAAATGGGTCAAAGACTTAAACAGAAGAGCTAAAACTATAAAAATTCCTAGGGGAAAACACGTGGGGAAAATATGACATCAGACATGGCAGTTATTTCTTGGATATGCCATCAAAAGCACAGGCATCCAAGTAAAAAATAGATAAACTGAACTTCGTCAAAATTAAAAACTTCTGTGCATTAAATAATATTATCAGCAGAGTAAAAAAACAATCCATGGAATGGTAGAAAATAGTTGCAAATCATACATCTGGTAAGAGATTAATATCCAGAATATATAAAGAATTCTTATAACTCAAAAACAAATAAACAATTCAATTAAAAAATGAGCAAAAGGCTTAAACAGATATTTCTCCAAAGAAGATATGCAATTGACAAGAAAGCACATGGAAAGACATAATGTTCAACATAACTAATCATTAGGAAAATGTAAGTCAAAATCACAGTGATATAACTCTTCATATCCATTAGGACAGCTATTATATCAACCACACCCTATCCCCAGGGGGGAAAAAACAGAAAATAATAAGTGTTGGTGAATATGTGGAGACACTGAAAACTTGTACACTGCTAGGGGGATGTAAAACAGTGCAAACACCGTGGAAAACAATATGGTGGTTCCTCAAAAAATTAACACAGAATTACCATGTGACCCACCCATACAGACACCTGTACAACCATATTCATTACAGCATTATTCACAACAACCAAAAAGCAGAAGAAATATAAGTGTCTACGGACAGACAAATAGATAATCCAAATGAGGTCTATACATACAATGGAATATCACTGTCTTAAAAAGAAATTAAATTCTGATACATTGTACAATATGAATAAACCTTGAAAACATTATGCTAAGTGAAATAAAGACAATTATCAAAAGACAACTATTATACGGTTCCACTCATATGATGTGCTTACAGTAGTCAAATTCATAGAGACAGAAAGTAGAATTGTGGGTGACAAGAGCTGAGGGAGGAGAAAATGAGAAGTTGTTATTGTTTAACCAGAACAGATTTTCAGTTTCGGAAGATGAAAAACGTTCAGGAGCCACACTGTGGTGGTGGTAACTAAACTATATGAATGTACCTAACACAACTGAATTGTACCATTTAAGCGATTAAAATAGTAAATTTTATGTTATGCATACATTACCACAATTTTTTAAAAAGCAATAGACAAAGGAGAGGGACTAGACTTGTGGGTCAGAAGCTGTGGGTCCCAATCTCAGCTCCACATCTACAACCTGGGAGAACTTCATAAGTGAGCTTGGTTCTATTATATATGGAGTAAGCAGTTGACTTAATTTATTCCTAACGTCTCATCCAAGTCTCAAATTCTATTCAATGTTCTATATCTATTCCTTGTGTTCGTGTGGGTTCAGCAGTGAACAAAATAGGCCTGGTCCCTGTCCTCCTGGAGTTTGCATTCCAATGGGGTGGACAAACATTAACTACATGCATACATATGTGTGTGTCAGATAAAGAAATATAATGATAGGCTAAAAAGAGAGTGTGACAGGAGTCCTGTTTTAGATAGAGTGGCTAAAGATATGGCAATTGACCAAAGACTTAAATGATGGGAGAGAGGTGCCATGAGGACATCTGGGGAAAGGCTTTTGCATAGGAGAAACTGTAAGAACAGTGAAGAGGACATAAGATGGATTCTCACCTGTACATTGGATTTTAAAATGCAGGTCATCACTGAAGAGCTATACAAGAGTACAGCTCTTGTTCAAGAGCTCCCACACCCACCCTTGTACCAGAGGGGCTTACCTGATGGTACAGATATAGGTTCCAGAGTCCTTCTGCATGGCTGGCAAAATCCAGAGAGCACCATCCTGGACCCAAACTCTCGTCTCTTCTTTCCCTGGGATCAGCCTCGCAGAATCATTTTTACGCCAGGTCAGGTTGATGTGGGGACTGGCAGAGGCCCCCAGCCAATACCGCACCTGGGGGCACCTCAGGACCACAGGTTCGCCATCCACCTTGAAGTCAGTTTTAAAATGCTTGCCACGGAACTGGCAGTTTTCTGAAGCCACTGAAGGACAGAGAGACTACAGTCAGGCTTTATGTCCTAAACCTCCCTTTCATGGGCAAATCCAAAGAAACAGCATTCCCCTAACAAAGTGGTCCATATCCTTGGTACCCCCATTAACTCCTTTTGTTAGAAAGGTTTCAAAACTTCTAAATAGGCACTTTAGGGCTGCCATCAATTCCAATGTACATTTTGTAGGAAAAGTTAAATCAGATTCACATGATGATGAAAAATAATAATTAAAATGTTTGGCCATATTTTTTACTTTCTGACTCATTAAAGTAGACCTTATCTTACTTCAAATTTTTTTAAAACAGAGCTTAGTCCTGACAGGATGTGTGATTAAAACTCAAAGTCATCTTTTAGGAAGGGCAAAGCACAACTCATTTGGTTCACTCCTTTGGCAGGAATGGCAGATGCCCAGGGGAGCATGGAAGATGGGCCAGGGGAAACAGTTGTCATTTACCAAGGCAAGACAACACCTTACTTTTTTTAATTCTTTGATTCTGTATTTGCATTTCATTTCTTTATTTTTGTATTACATTTATTGAGGTAACAACATTATATAAACTTCAGGTGTACAACATTATAATTTGATATTTGTATACTTGATTGCATGCTCACCACCCAAAGTCTAGTGTTCCACTACCATACATTTGACCCACCTTAACCCATCTTGCCCTTCCCTATATCCCTTCCCCTCTCATAATCACACCTTGGTTTTTTTTAACAACAAAACCTCCCTCATTAAACACATGCTTTCCCCAGAGAAACAGCAGGCAAGCACTTTCCAGCTGAGTCACTTCTTACCGCTGTGTTTCGCAGGCAGAATGGTGAAGGCAGAAACACCCATTATCAACAGGTACAAGAAGAACATTGTTTCCAATAGCTTCCAAAGAACACAGAAAGTGGAGACCTTAGGTCCAGCACTCAGTAGCCTAGAGAAGAACACAGAGGGGTCACCAGGAGGTACAAACATCCAAAGAGAGAACCCCTTGAAGATGTTGCCAGGGGTGGATTCTGGAAGCTTCACTTAATAAAAGTAACCTTTTTGCCTAGATTTTTCAATAAGAAAACTCACAATTTGGGGATTTGTTCCTCTACAGCTATAGTCACTGAACACACCTAACATGAAATACACAGAGTACTTACAAACAGCCTTGGCCTGGAAGTTCCATACACTGAGCATCTGTCTCTCTTGAAATGTGCCTTAGTACTCCCTGCCCCTCAGCCCAAGACCCTCTCCTCAGCTAAGGCCACTATTTGGGTCCTCTTCTCTTTCCTGTCTCTCTGCTCAAACATCACTTTTGATGAGGTCTTCCTAATCTTCCTGTATAAAATGGAACCACCCTTCTACCCCAACACTCCACATTTTCCTTTCCTGCCCCATTGCTTTCTATGGTATTTGGGATCAACCATGACTCCTCTCTCTAGAAGGTAAGCTCTATGTGCAGAGGAATCCTACTTCATTTTATTCATCCTCCTACTTTTTGAATGACTGAATGAGTAAATGAATCACTATAAGTCAAAGGCCCTCATTTTACTTGTCAGAGAAGTTTTTCTATAGTCTTTATAAATAAATCCTTATGGATGAAGTCTTATTTTACATACAGTTCTGACAAACACTTGGGGAGTCTATATACTGCTAACTCTCTGCTGTAGGGCATCACAGGGAAAAAGCAACATGAGGTCCTAAAGTGAATAATATACAGAAGTCTATGAAGCATTCCTCCTCTGCATGAATGTCCCCAAGATGTTCAGATGCCTCTGTTTCTCCCTGTAGGCCCTCTCACACCATATTGCAATTGCCTGTTGTATCAGATAACCATTGGTACAACAATACTGCTAACAAACAAGGCCAAAACTGATTAGCTTAAAATAACAATAATTTATTCTTGCTCTCAAGTCTATGAGTCAGATGGAAGTTGGCAGCACTCATTTAGGCTGTGTTAGGCTTGGCTCCAAGCTTCAGATGGCATTCAAGTCAGCTCCATGTGTCTCTCATCCTCCTTGGATCAATGTCTTTCTGGGAGATGGTCTTCTCATGTGATGGGAAAAGACAATCAATGTGAGCAAAACCACTCACAGCCTTGCTAAGAACTAGCTTGCTCTTCTCTGCCTACATTCCACTGGTCAAAACAAGTCATAGGGCCAAACATGCTATCAGTGGAATGGAGAAATACCCCCACCTCTAGTGGGAGAAGCTGAAAAGTTGCTCCAAGAGGAAAAAGAAATGGGAGAAGTCATGCCATCTGCCATACCTGTTTAGCTCCCCATGGGGACAGCCATGAGGACAGAACCCCAGTGTTATTTACAGCCGCCATGGCCTACACGAAGCCCAGTCCTGAAAGTACCAGGGAGTACTTTCTGACTGAGAGTCTACTAGAAAGTTGGGAGTGATGAGTAAATCTAGGAACAAAACAAAACCAAAAACAAACAAAAAACCTCTACCACCACCACCACCACCCCATTTCCATGAAGGAATGTGACTTGTTCTCTGTTCCTGGAACAGATTATCATTCTGAATGTCTCACAGTAAACCCAAATGGTTCTTAATTGGCCAGGACAGGGCTGTTAAACTGAAGAAGTGATCCTTGCACTCTAGGAGCCCTCCCTTATCAGTCAGGACCATCAGAAGCCAGGCTCAGAGTTGTAGTCTAAACCCCCACTCTAGTGACTCAGAGTCATAGGTAGGCAGTGAGATTTTCCCCTTAGCTGGATATCTGCTCCAGGACTCTCTACCCTAAGCTCTTCCTACTCCTACATAGTCCCATCCTATCCCATCCTACCCACATGTTTCTGATACACAAATGTTTCTGTAACTTTACCTGTAACACTTAGAAACCTCTGGTTCATCAGACCACTTAGAAAAAGGTCATATCAGTAGTGACCAAGTTGCTTTGTCCCCAGTTGTATTGGTCTCAGCCAGACTTACTAGTTCTCTGGTAAGGATATGAAAGAAGTAGGAGTTACATGCACCAGGTATAACTATTACTGCATATCTAAGTAAATGAAAGAAGTCAAAGATTCTGATGCAGGGACTAATGTAATAGTGACAGCTATTGTGCTAAACTCCAAGCATTTGTTCTTCTATTTTACCCCTATTATGTGAATATTATGGCCATTTTATAGGTGATACAACAGAAGAGATTAAAGAGCTTAAGTATCTTGGCCATATCTTATAGCTATTGGGCTGAAGTGAGCAGGGGCTGAAATTTAAATCTAGGATTGGTGATTCCACAGTCCTTGCTCTTCAAAAACAGTTTCTGTGACAGATGCTGTTAGTTTCTTCCTCCAATATCTGTCCTCCCTGTTTCCCCAATAATAGAGTTACCAGGCTCTTAACTAAATAAATCACTATCCTACACAAAGACTATATATTCAACCCTCCCTTGCAACTAGGAGTGGCAACATGACAAAATCTGGGTCAGTGAAATGTAAGTGGAAATGTAATATCCTCCTCGGAAGTCTACTTAAAAGTCTTCACTAGTCTTCCTTCCTGATGGTTCCATATGAATATGAGGGCTGGATTACAGTCACCACCTTAGGCCACAGGTGAGGAGCATGGCTTTATGAAGCTGCCTGCCCCCATCCCAGATTGCCTTCTTTTATATGTTTGGGTTTTCTGTCATGCACAGCCATACCTACCCCAGTATGTTAACTTTGCAGAGTTTATGAACAGGACCCTGGGGTAATAAGCCCTGCCAGGTATGGTCAGGTGTTATGTTCTAACTGGTCCTGTTTCTGATGTTCAACAGTTTCTGATGACTGACCTTGAAAAATCACTTAAACTCAAAGGCAAGAGGAGCTGTAAAGCCTCCCCTTGGATGAAAGCAGCTCCCTCCCCCAAAAATCATGTTCAGGCTTAGACTTGCATTATGTGAGGGTTTGTGACCATGTTTTAAATTATTTTTACACCAGAAAGTCAGACGGCATTCTTTGAGGGGCAGTCACTAGCTGAAAGAGCTGCAGAGCTGGAAGAATCTTAGAGATATGTAGTGCCATCACTTGTTTTTCCAAGTGATGCAAATAAGTTGGAGGTTAACCCTCTTCTCAAAATCACATGTCTAGTCAGGGTTAGAAGTAGAGATGTTTCAACGAGGACCTTATTTCAATAAAATAAATATAGGACCCTCAATTTAGGGTCCTTTAAATTGAGGAGGACCCTAATATTGCCCTCCTTAAGTAACAGTCACACCCCACCCCCTAGCCCCCACCCAGGACCCCCACTGCCAAGAAAATTGATTTCTTTCTATGGACTTTGGCAAAATAGCTGCTTTACTATGAACTTTCCAGGAAGTGGCTTCAGACTTGAAGCCACAAACACATAATAGCAATTGTTTTCATTAATCAAAACCTCCTAAAAAAGGCTGGAACCCAAATTTCCATAGTGTGGTAAACAGTTAAGTTTTTGGCAGACCCAGAGGAAAAAAAATGTTTGTAGATGTTTGTAGCAAAACATTATTCTCCTGCCTTACTTTCTTTAAATGTGTCTTTAAGTTACAGAAAATTCTACATTTTTGCTTGAATCTGAGTAGACCTTCTACTGGAAGAAAGAAATTTTAAGGGCAGCACATTCCCAGTGTTTGAGTTACAATTCTATTCTTATTTTGGGGGGGGGAGAACAACCATGTTTTGCCACCCCCAATGTAAGAAAACAGAACTAGAACTGAAAATGAACAAGACCAGGCATTTAAAAAAAGTGACACAAATGTGTGAAGAGTTGAAGGAGAAGGAATATAGTAAGGTGGAAAGGACTGATGACACTGCACTGAGTCATAGAGGTAGAAATTCACCCAGAAAATTAAACTTTTCTTTATTTCTATCTTCACCTTCCTTCTTTTATTTATTTATTTATTTATTTATTTATTTATTTATTTATTTTATTTTTTTATTGATTATGCCGTTACAGTTGTTCTATTCCCCCCTTTATTCCCCTCCACCCTACCCCCCCATCCCCACCATTACCCCCCCCTTTAGTTTATGACCATGTGTCTCAAGTTCTTTAGATTCTATATTTCCCATACTATTCTTGCCCCCCCATCTATTTTCTATCTACTGTCTATGCTACTTATTTTCTGTACCTTCTCCCCCCTTCTCCTCCTCCCACTCCCCTGTTGATAACCCTCCTTGAGATCTTCATTTCTATGTTTCCACTCCTGATCTAGCTGTCCTTTTAGTTTGCTTTTGTTTTAGGTGTGGTTGTTAATAACTGTGAGTTTGTTGTCCTTTCACTGTTCATGTTTCTTTAACTTCTTTTTCTTAGTAAGTCCCTTTAACATTTCATATAATAAGGGCTTGGTGATGATGAACTCCTTGAATTTGATCTTATCTGAGAAGTACTTTATCTGTCCTTCCATTCTGAATGAAAGTTTTGCTGGATAGAGCAATCTTGGATGTAGGTCTTTGGATTTCATGACTTGGAATACCTCTTTCCAGCCCCTTCTTGCCTATAAGGTCTCTTTTGAGAAATCTGCTGACAGTCTGATGGGAACTCCTTTGTAGGTGACTGTCCCCTTATCTCTTGCTGCTTCTAGGATTCTCTCCTTCATGTTAATCTTGGCTAATGTAATTATGATGTGCCTTGGTGTGTTCCTCCTTTGGTCCAACTTCTTTGGGACTCTCTGAGCTTTCTGGATTTCCTGGAAGTCTATTTCCTTTGGCAGATTGGGGAAATTCTCCTTTATTATTTGTTCCAGTAAGTTTTCCACTGGTGACTGTTCCTTTCCCCCTTCTGGTACCCCTGTAATTCAGATGTTGGAGCGTTTAAAGATGTCCTGGAGGTTCCTAAATCTCCCCTCATTTTTTTGAATTCTTGCTTCTTCACTCTTTTCTGTTTGGCCATTATTTGCTTTCTTCTGGTCCACTCCATTGATTTGAGTCCCAGTTTCCTTTTCATTGCTATTGGTGTCCTGTGCAATTCCATTCATTTCAATTAGTTTCGCCTTCATATGTTTCTCTAATTTGTGGCTATAATCAACCAGTTCTGTGAGGATCCTAATCACCAGTGTTTTAAACTGTGCGTCTGAGAGTTTTGCTATTTCTTCATCGGTTAGATTTATAGGCTCTGGGGCTTTGAGTTCTTCTTGAGCCATTTTTGGTCTGTTTGCGCCCATTAAGTGTGAGGAGTGGAACCTTGGACTCCCAGGTCACTGGGTCGTGACACTGTATGTGGGGGCGTGGTCAGAGCGAGGAAATGGCGGCCCCCTCTGCTGTTTTGCACCGCTGGGTGAGGAGCAGAGCCTTAGGTGGTTCACCAGGGCCGGGCCACTCAGAGTCGCTGGGTTATGACGCTGTATATATATGGAGGTGGGGTCAGAGCGGGGAAATGGTGGTGCCCACCACTGTCGCTTGCCTCGGGGACCCGTTGGGTCCTGGTCCAATCTCCAATCACCCACTCCATTGCTTGTCTCTCCGTTGCTTGTCCGAGCATGAATGTGTGACCACAGTCAACCCACAGCCCTGCTCCCTCACTGTTTCCCCGAAGTCACTGGGTCTCTCACTAGGTCCAACCCTGCGCCTGGATTCCGCGTGCCTGAGTCTGTCTGACAGAGTTTTCCTGTGCTACCCTGCTCTGCCAGCTGCTGGTTTCGCCCCCTAACTGGTCAGGCTGAAGAATTTGTTGTTAACAAACTTCAGAAAAGTTCAATTTTCTGTGTTCTGTCTGTGTTTTCTGTTGCTAATATTTAGTTGTCTCTAAACTTGGTTGTGTGAGAAGGCATGGCGTCTCCACCTATGCCTCCATATTGGCGGAAGCCCTCGTTTCTTGCTTTATCTGCTGAGAGTCCATTTTACTGCTCGGTTACTGATGCTCTTCCTTTTGCTTTAATACAACACAGCATTTCTCCTACACATCTCCAGGTAGAACCTTGCCCAGGAGGGGTGCTGGGTGTTTCTGGGGCCCCATGTTTGTCTGGGTCTAGAGACTGAGACATTCACGAAGCTGGAGAGGGTGGGTAGGGGACAGAAAAAGTTCACCTTCCTTCTGAAAGCTTTCAGGCAACTGAGTCTAAAAACTCTAAGTCAGATCATACAGTCATCCAAAAACAAGGTAACAGCCTGCATGTTCATGAAGTCAAATAGCTATCAAGCCTTAGGCATATTACTTAGTCACCTCCAGTTTGTATAATCAATGCCTAAAAACCCAAAAATGTTGTTTCAGGCATATGGCATAAACCTAAAACGCATAAGAAAAATAAATATTCTACATAAAAATTAAACTTGGAAAAATTCTGTAAATGCTAAAGTAAAACAAAATAAAAGAAGTATTTTGAACTAAGTGTCCGGAAAACACAGAATGGTAGGAGTCTGGTGGTAGAGAAGAAGCTACAGAGAAATATATGACCAGGTTAAAGGCAGCTTTTGTTGAAAACTACCCTTGCTCAAAGTGGAACCCTTAATAGGTTCTCCATAAACTAATTTTGTTCTTTAAAAAAGAGGGAAGCTAGTTCCTCCAACCACCAACCCCCAGAATTAAGGGAGTTCAGACCAGCACAGTGGGACTCTTTCTGGTTTGTATGGCTGTGTCAGGATGACAGCATCTCAATGTCCTTGACTCTGGTGGAGCCTCAGAAGACAGATGGCTTACTGGAAGCCATGGCACAGGAAGACCCATCTTTGGCAGAGTGGAGCATTGGGCTGAATTTCAAGGAGAAAAATTGAACAGGTTAAGATTTGCTGCCATCAGTGGCTATACACACTCTTTATATTTTACTTTCTGTCAACAAGTATCTTATCCCCCTAAAACCATCCCTGTCAAAAGTTTTGAACTTGACCAACTTCTTCCCTAAAAATCATTCATTGACTGAGAGCTTCAGGAAAACAACTAATCTTCCCACTCATTTAAATCCTCTGTTCATATACTGCATTCCCATTAAGCCTGAGTCATTCAGAGCCCCTAGCAGGAAAGGCCATAAACCAAAGACACCTCCTTATTTTCCTCCTTTTTACAGGCCCACTCATAGGCAAACCCCCAACAAGATCAGTCCACTAGCCCAGGACAGTTGCCATCCTTCTCAAAGTGAATGAAATTGAAGCTCTACCCAGTAGGTCCCCAACACCCACAATACAAATCCACCAAGCTTCAAATTCTACCAGCTTGACAACTGTGTAAGAGGGGTCACTGCTCTGAACAACTCTAAAGGTCAGAACTCATGTGTCTGGTAGAGCAAATCATCCCTATTATAAACATGAAGCAATGGAAATAGACTCAGATACATTAAGTAACTTACCCAAGGCCACAGAGCTAATGGAATGACAAAGTCTGATGCAAGTCTGAGCCTATACAATCCTCTGAATTGATTTCTTTCTCTGCTCTGTATAACCATCAGAACCTGGAGCTGGTTGGGGCTCCAGAAACCATTGAGCTTAGCAGATCAGCCAAACAGCCTTCTCAAACCTAACATCCTCTGTAGCTGGACAAGCTACCCTTCTTACAATGGACACTTCCAAGTCCTAAAAAAAGACTCATGATCAGAAACTTCTCTGTCATTTCTAAATACAAATTTGTCTCCCCCTAAGCTCTACTCATTGGACAGATTCCAACCTTGGGGGCAGCTCAAGTCTACATCTTCCAGTAGTCCCGAGACTCAGGGAGTCTATACAGGGGGGCACTGTGGAAAGTACATGAACTGTAGAGTCTGACAGAGGAGGGCAGGGAGAGTCCCGTCTGCCTTGTTTGCCAGTTGGAGGGTTTGGTACCAGCAGAAAGATTCTGTTGCCTTTGTGAGGCTCAGTCTGCTAATCTGTGAAACAGCTGTGGCTGGACATACATCACAGGGGGGTTGGATGGCATGTGGTATATAAAGAGGTCAACACAGAGTTGGCAAAGAGAAAGCACTCAACAAGTGGTTGCTCTCAACAGTGTTATTACAGAAGCAGTCCCCCAAAACTCAGGGAGGTAAGTTGCTAAAGAACATACAGCTACCAAACTTCAGTGAGAAGTCAGAGCTTCCACTGTCTGTATTCCAACTCTTGACAATGGTCCCTGAGACAGCCCAAGAACTGTCTGGTATCATAGTCATTAACTTAGCTAACACCAGTTACTATATTGTAAAGGTGTACAACTTTATCTAATGGAATCAATAAGCCTGTGTGCACATCCATATTATAGAAGGATGTTTGACATGTAAACTCACAGTCATAAACACTAACACATCCAAAGCCTACCATGGAATTCTGATCCTTTCATTCAGACTGACATCTTCATGGAAGTCTTTAAGCACACAGGATACTGAAGCTGGATCCTGCCTTCAATCTGTTAATTAGCTATGTGATCTTGGGAAAGACATTTACCCAATCTAGGTCACAGTTTCTAAATCACTAAAATGCAAGGGTTGGGCAGCTGAGGCTATTTCACCTCCAAGGTGTAAAACCCTAGGATTCTAAGTCAGTCTGAATTTGAACTTAGTCTTCAGTCTTGGGCACAGCTTCCATTTTAAAAGCACTGAATGAGGAGGCTTAATCAGATAACCACCAGATTGAGTCCACTCATTTGCTTAAGTCTCTAAGAGAGCAAATGGCAGAGCCCGGACTCAGGTCTTCTGAGTTGTCCTGAGTATTGGAGTTCTAGATTATAGGGGTACTCACTGGGTAATGCTGTCTAGTAACTGACACTCTGTGCTGACACGGGACAGAAGGTGTTATGAGTGGATGCACACCTTTTAAACCAAATGATGTTTTCAGTCTCTTATAATCTGAGTGTGGCAAACACCTCAAATATTTGAATCATTCATCATCTAGAAAATTTGCCCATTTAAATTATACCACAGGCCAAAGAAACAAGGACAAAAAGAATCTAAACAGTAAAAAATGTACTTGAAAAGTAACTAAATAAAATTTATTATTAAAAAAAAAACAGTTGAAAAGTAGCCAACAGGATTCTGCTGCAAAGGCATATGTATTTTATTCTCAGGAGAAGGTAGAAGCTCTCTTTGCCCAATCTGTGAGCACAGGTGGTGCAGGGCTGACCTCAGTCACACATTGCGAGCAGATAAACTAGGCAAAAATGGGCAACGAGACAGACCGTGTGACCCAGGACCCCAGCGCTGGGAAATAAAGCCTAAAAGCAATGATTGAAAAGGTGCCGGGAGAGACTCCCAGCCTCACAGGAGAATTTGTTGGAGAGATCCACAGGGTTCTAGAACATACACAAGCCCACCCACCTGAGAACAAGCACCAGAAGGGCCCAATTTGCTTGTGGGAAGTGGCAGAGGGGACTGAAATCCAAGAGAAAGTGGAACAAGCGCCATTGTTCCCTCTCTGACCCTGCCCCCACATACAGCATCACAACCTAGCAACTGGGTTGCCCCGCACTGGTGAACACCTAAGGCTCCACCCCTCACTACATAACAGGTGAGACAAGACAAAAAAAAAATGTCCTAAACAGAAGAACAGGTCAAAGCTCCAGAAATAATACAACTAAGTGGTGAAGAAATAGCCAACCTATCAGATGCACAGTTTAAAACACTGGTGATCAGCATGCTCACATAACTGGTTGATTTTGGTCACAAATTAGATGAACAGATGAAGGCTACACTAAGTGAAACGAAGCAAAATACACAGGGAACCAATAGTGATGGGAAGAAAACTGGAACTCAAATCAATGGAGTGGACCAGAATGAAGAAAGAAACAACCAAACAGAAACGAATGAAGAAACAAGAATTCAAAAAAAGTAGAAGAGGCTTAGGAACCTCCAGGACATCTTTAAACATTCCAACATCCGACTTATAGGGGTACCAGGAGGGGAAGAGGAACAGCCACAAGTGGAAAACTTATTGGAACAAATAATAAAGGAGAACTTCCCCAATCTGGCAAAGGAAATAGACTTCTAGAAAGTCCAGGAAGCTCAGAGAGTCCCAAAGAAGGTGGACCCAAGAAGGAACACACCAAAGCACGTCATAATTACATTACCCAAGATTAAAATGAAGGAGAGAATCCTAGAAGCAGTAAGAGATAAGGGGACAGTCACCTACAAAGGAGTTCCCATCAGACTGTCAGCTGATTTCTCGAAAGAGACCTTCCAGGCAAGAAGGGGCTGGAAAGAAGTATTCCAAGTCATGAAAGGCAAGGACCTACATCCAAGATTGCTCTATCCAGCAAAACTTTCATTTAGAATGAAAGGGCAGATAAAGTGCTTCTCAGATAAGGTCAAGTTCAAGAAGTCCATCATCACCAAGCCCTTTTTATGTGAAATGTTAAAGGGACTTACTTAAAAGAAAGAAGATAAAAATATGAACAGTGAAAGGACAGCAAACTCGCAGGTATTAACAACCATACCTAGAACAGAAGCAAACTAAGCAAACAACTAGATCAGGAGCTGAGCCACAGAAATGAAGATCACATGGAGGGTTATCAACTGGGGAGTGGGAGGAGCAGAGAGGGGGAAAAGGTACAGAAAATAAGTAGCATAGACACTGGGGAGAAAATAGACAGGTGGAGGGCAAGAGTAGTGTGGAAAATGTAGAAGCTGAAGAATTTATGACACATGGACATGAACTAAAGGGAGAGATTGTGGGTGGCAGGGGGTATGCAGGGTAGAGGGGAATGAAGGGGGGGAATGGAACAACTGTAATGGCATAATCAATAAAATATATTTTTAAAAAAAAGAATCTCTTTCTATTTGTGTGAGTGTGGCTATAGTTTCTCAGAGTACCTGATTGTATTTTCTAGAGATGCCACAGCAAAATCTCTCATTCCACATGGCTTCTATTATATGACTGTGCCACCCTATTATCAAAAGTTGAAATCCAGGTCACCTCCCTTGAATGTGGGCCAGTTTGTGACTCAAGTCTAACAACAGAGTGATCTGTATGAACTCAGAAGATAAGTCAGAAAAAGCCATTCAGCTTCCACCTGGTTTCCTTGGGACCTTTGCTCTGAGGGAAACCAGCCATCATGTAACATCTCCTGAGACCACATTGCAAGGGATACCTCATGTAGAGAATCAGGTTGACAGTCCCACCTATGCACAGCCTCACAGGAAACCCCTCAAAGGTGCCAGCTATTTAAAACCATCTTAGACTCTCCAGCTGAGAACCACTGTTTGAACTCAATAACCTCATAAAGCAGAAGAATCACCTAGCTGAACCCTTCTCAAATTCATGACCTAGAGAATATGAATTAGCATAAAATACTTGTTTTAAGCTATTAACTTTTGAGGCAGTTGTTATGCAGCAATAGGTGACCAAAAATTCTTAATCAAAAGCAGATTTGAGGTAGCAAATTAGAAATGGAGAGAGGGCTGGTGTAAGAAAACACACAGAAATAAGTGGCATCTGATTGTCCAATAATAGGAGAGATAAAAAAACTATTAAGACAAGTGCAAGAACCAAAGAGCGCAATAATCAAAGGCGTTAAGAGCAGACACAAACAGTTCTCTCCACCTCACTGTGCTCTGCTAGGGATATCAGGATATCACAGCACAAAACACTCGATGTTCATAATGAGTCCCCTGAATCATGAAGAACAGCTTAACTTTTGTTCAGAACTCTCTTTTTCTAGGATGAAACAGTGTATAACATATGAAATAAGGAGATTATTGTAATTACCTTCCAACATATTACCCTTCTTACTATCTTTGATGCTTCTGCCACTCTGACCTCAAGAAAGTGCAAGAGCAAGGGCTTCCTCACAAAGG